TTAGCCCCCGCACATAGATGTTCCACCCCTAACATCTTGAAAAGATGTTCTTTTAAGCCGTATAACACTAGTACCTCTGACTAGCATGTCAATGTAAACCTCAGTGGCAACCCAGACCCATCAATTCCAATGGGAAAAATTGACTCCATTCGCACAACACAACGTCAACATATTATAATGTTTTGGGGACCTCAACCACACCCTTTTTCAGAGGGACTTTTAGACCTTCTTGCAGTGTTTTACATGAAAACTTTTTTGATTCCCTACTCAATCTCTGGCCCTCCCTTGCCCCGAGTGAGTGATTGGCAGAAGGCATATCACTTGTCAACCCCCCCGGTACGTTGGATCGCGACCACAAAGGCGTTTTTTCCAACTTTAAGATCCCCAACAAACGAGGTGAGGAGTCCACACGCACAACCTGGCTATGGGAAAGAGGTAATTGGCCACCCCTTTTCTCTGAGCTCGCCACCACCGACTGGAATGCTCTTCTCAGGGGAGTTTACAACCAAAGGGAAAACCTTCACTGGACACATCCTTAATCTGCAACAAGAACACATTCCTCCCGGGAATATGTGACAAAGCCAAAGATCACCTTGGTTTGGGTTTGTTGTAGAGAAGGGTGCTACTGCTAAGTACAAAGCAGGGGAAGGTAAAGAAGACATCCTATCACCCATAACAGGGAAATTGCACATGCAAGCCTGTAGGGAAGGGTGATGTTCAAAAGTGGGCCTTGCTAAAAGGGAGGGGACACTAAAAAAAAGTTGCATCAGGTAGGGAGGCCCAAAACCGGGGGTCCCTGGGCAAAGGGCAGACAAGGTTACTGCCTGATGAAAATTAATTTCCCTCTCTAAATCACAGGATGGGACCCCCTCTACAGTAGTCAAAAGAAGGGGACCTCTTTTCTGAACACTTTGTACCAAAATGAATTCCTGACCACAAGGGGGCCCTCCTTGGCTAGCTGCAAAACGTGTCAAAAAGTCATGGTGACAATAAGGGAGGAAGGGGGGCATTTCCTTCTTAAATCACTTTTACCCAAAAAAGGGTTTTGGGGCCCCGACAAGTGAGCCCCAAAATTGTTTTAAAAATGTGCAACCGCTGGGGCCCCTCAACCGCATCTTTTTGCACTGCCTTAAAAATGTAAATGGCCCTCTCCAGGGGGAAAAGGCAAGTAGTCCCTGTTCACAAAAAAAAAAGAGCAAACAGAAATACAATCAACCAGTATCCTTTAATCACTGGTAAACCTTGAGACAATAATTCCCAAAACAAATGACAGATTTTTTTCTACCACTCCTACTTGTGATCGCAATAGGTTCAGGAAAGGTTTTCTCTGCGCTGATCTGTTGTTAAAAACCCCTCCACTAAATGGCACCCGTCATGGGTGAATCCAAATCAGCGTGTGGACACTGGACATTGCGGCGCTTTTGACCCGGGGGGGCACCAGGCCTTTAGCAAAACTTTAAGCACGGGGGAAATTTCAGGGTCTACGCTATTCTCCTATGTTACCCCAGGTATTCTAAGGTTTGTCCCCAATGGAATGAACACAAGGCACCTTTTGGGCAAGGTTCCAAAGGGAAACGTTCTGGGCCACGTTATGGAAACTCTTCAAAACCTCTTCATTTAAACCCCCCAAACACAGCATATCAGATACTGTACTTCCCCTCACTTTTCCAAAAGAAGAAAGCCAGCTGCTCTAAACACATCACACCCCCCTGGAGCATATCAGCTTGGGGAAATAATGGGAAGTAACATTTTGCACCGAGAAAACGCAAATGATGATTTTCTAGGGACCATGAAGTAAGCGGTGCGTATAAGGATGAAGGGACGATGTTGGCACCTGGAGAATTGATATCCTTGGGGTGAAATCTGACTCCAAACAACCATGAAGAACCATTTAACATTAAAAGGGTATAAAATCCCGACGGGTTGTTAGGTAGACCATATGAAACAGTTGGGTACTTTATTAGAAATTTTTCGCCAACAGAGGCTTCTTCAGCAATAAAAAAAGTTGATAAAAAGCAGAAATACTTAAGACGATGTAACACCCATCACCCTTAAAGTTTGGGTGGTCAGTCCCTCGTCTAGAAAGGCATTGCCCATATATGAAACAATTTGGGAGATGAAGGACAGAATGGATTTTATACCTTTTTAAATTTTTCAATCTGTCAACACTGCAAAAAACAAGGGTATTTTGGGTACAACCTGCAATCAACTTCGACAACTTCCACTAGTAGAGCGCTGGGATTGAGAGGGACCTGCCCTTTTCAACATCTGAGTTTTTCCTCCCTAGGGCCTACGTCCACCTCTTGGCGCTAAAAAAAAGCTCCTTCTGTCACTTCACTCCATATTGTTTCTTACTATGGAAAAATGCTCTTCTCTAGATGAGGGACTGCCCACCTAAAATTTTAAGGGGTGTGGACTGATTACATCGTCTTAAAGTACTTCTGCTTCTACCCTTTTTTCTTACTTGACTAAAGAAGCCTACTGTGGGGCGAAATTTTCATAATAAAGATCCCTAACTGTTGCATAGGTTTTACCTAAAACTGAAAAACCATTTTGTAAATTTGCAAACAAGGCACCCGGGAAGCTTAAGCACTTGCCGTATCTCCATCTGTTGCATGGGGGTTGCAAGTCCTGTACGGGGCAAAAGTACCTCACACCTTGAGTATGTCCACTTTTTTTTGCCTGCCCCCCCCCTCTCATCTGCGACTGTTTGACAGAGTAGGAAAAGCAACATCCATCTCTCGCCGGGGCCCCATCCGGGATAGACTGCTTTCAGCAGACCCCAAACATAGGGGGGATGTGGGTGGTTTTACTGTTAGTAAAAGGCCCAAATTGTAAAAATACCACACTAGCATCCATTTCGAGGACAGCGTAAAACAAGCTTTTATCCCACAAGAGGGGCAGAAAGCAGCAATTTCACTCTGGCTGTACCCTTCTCCAGAACATCACTCCACTGAGATCATACATCCCCAGGATGATGGGGTATGGAACACATTGTACACAAATGATGCAACGGGGTAGTAGTTGATCAAAAGAAAATGCTGGCCCACAGAGGGGCCCCAAATTCATCCTGTTCCCTATTGCATTCTCATAAAATAAAAAGCTTTCAAATGAGCGATGTAGGGAAAAGCTCTTACTTGCCAAAAAAGTTGGAAAACCTTAACCCGTAAATGCTTCAAAAAAGCTAGGGATCCTTAAACCTTGTCAAACCCTGTGTAAAAAAAAAAAAAAAAAAAAAAAAAAAAAAAAAAAAAAAGGAGAGAGAAAAAAAGAGAAGAAAGAACAAGAGAGAAAGAGAGAACAAAAGGGAAAAGAGAGAACAAGAGAGAGAGAGAGAGAAAAAAGGGGAGAGAGAGAGAGAACAAGAGAGAGAGAGAGAAAAACAAGAGAGAGAGAGAGAAGAACAAGAGAAGAGAGAGAGAGAAAAAGAGAGAGAGAGAGAGAAAAGAGAAGAGAGAGAAAAAGAAAAAAGGAGAGAAAAAAAAGAGAGAGAAAAAAGAGAAAAAGAGAGAGAACAAAAGAGAGAGAGAGAAAAAGAAGGGGGAAAGAAAAAGGAAAAGGAGAAAGGGAAACAAAGGGGAGGGAAAAACAAAAGAAAGAAAGGGCAAGAAAGGAGAAAGAGAGAAAAAAAAAGGAAAAAACAAAAAGAGAAAGGGGAAAACAAAAAAAAAAAAAAAAAAAGAAAAAAAAGGGGTGAATAGGAAAAAGAGAGGAAGGAAATGAAAAGGAAAATTTAAAAGAAAAGGAAAAAGGGGAAAAGAAGAACAAAAAGGGGGAAAACCAGAAGAAAAAAACAACCCAATATTTGTCAAATTTTTTATGGTGAAAAAAAAGTTAATGTTACAGTTTTAAAAACTAAAAGGAAACAAATTTATTATTAAAATTTTTTGAAAAAAAAATTATTATAATATTAAAAAAAAAGCCCAAAACATTCGTAAACCCATAGACAAAGGCTAAAAAAAATTTTTATGTTTTTAAAAAAGTGGAAAATAAGGGAAATAATTTCCTGAACCCCAGCCCTTTTTAAAAATTTAAGTAATTTTTTTAAGGTACCCTTTTTATCATGAAGTTTTATTTTATAATTTTAAAAAAAATTAAAATTTGGAAATTCCAAAATATTAGAAAATTCTTTTTCGAAAAAATTTTAAGTTCAAAAGGAGAGTTATATTTTTTTGGAAAACCAATGTTAAGTTTTGGACTAATTTAAAGGTATAAAAAAAATGTAACAAAACCGAAGGGGCCCATGGAAAATTTTAAAATGTATTTAAAAAAATGGGGATCCCCTTTGAAAATATGTTTAAATTTTTTAAATTTTAAAAACCTTTAGCATTTACAAAACCCCCGGGGCCCCATTTTCAGTTTTTTTTCACTTTTTGGGGCGAATTTTTGTTTTTTTTTGAAACAACCTTTTTTTTAATTTATTTTTTGGGTAACAAAATTTTAAAAATAATAATTTAAACCAAATTCCTGTTACCTGGGTTATGAGCAGATCTTAGCTCTCAATACCTTGAACTTAACTCTCATGCTTAAACACCTCCACAACTATGCACTTAAGAGTCTCAACAGTTTTAGCCTCAGTTTTAGTTTGCCTGAAATGATGCATGTACTACAGCTTCAAAAAATCTGCCCAACTTGCAAGCTTTATGTAAATAAATTATTATTATTATTATTATTAAACACACACATGCACAGGGCAACATCATACATCTTGCAATTATACCCAGTTTGGCAGTACCTTGGTTATAATGTACAGTGGTACCTTGGTATACGTCCAGCTCCCAACTCGAACAATTATGTAAGTGTATTTTTGCGAGTGCTTTTGTAAGTATATTTTTGGGGGTCTGAAACGGATTAATCTACTTTACAGTAGTCCTTATGGGAACAAATTCGTTTGGTACTCGAAGAGATCGGCACTTGAACAGCCTTCTGGAATTAAGGGCGTATACTGAGGTACCACTGTAGTTTTTAGTTTCTTCTGGGGATTTTTGGTTATAACTTACCATTGTCTGCTTCTCTATAGAGCCAGGTCCTCTGGATGGTGGGGTCTGAGGAGGTGATGTAGGTTATGGGGATGTCCCATTTGTAACCAAACTTTGACTCTTCTTCGCTGTTGACATACAAGCAAATGCTATGTAGTAGTTTTATTATAAAATGCCTTTCATTACTACTTAAAAAAATAAAGCAGCCATTAGAAAAATACCTTAATGAAGAACATCTAAAATATGAGAACAATAAATTAACCCTAATACAGTACAGTACCTAGAGTATAAAACAACAAAGGCACACTCTCCACAAAAGGACATGTATTATAATAAAGATACACCTTTCACAAAATGTCAAAAATATTGTGAAACAATGGTATATTCTCCACAAAATACCTACAGCATTGTAAAACAAATGTACTCCCTTCATAAAATACCAAGAGTGCTCCATAGCATAGGAACACTCTCCACAAAATATTTACAGTACTGTATAGTAAAGAAACACTCCCCAAAAATACCTACAGTACTTCTTTGACCTTTAATATACCTCTGAATGGTTTTAAGACTTTCCCTACTCTCAGACAGGCCCAGCACTAGGCTAGTCTGGTGCCTGCCTTATCAACCAGGCTGTTACTGGTAGCAGCCTGCTGGCCTACATCACATCACTTATTCCGGCAGTGTTTCTGATATCTTGTGGTAAAGTGTTAAACAGTCTATGGTCCATGTATGTTAATACAATGTTCTCTTATTGTGTCCACAGTGCCCCTAATTGTCGTTGATATATTTTACAATTTCTTCCATGACTTCACTCCCGTATGTCATTATGCAGATTTGGAATGAGCTGTGAAGTACCTTCCACACTTACATTATTATACATCTCTATCTCCTCTACTCCAATAAGTACATATTTAGGATGCTGTACAGTGGACCCCCGGTTCGCAGTGCTATTGGTATCCAATAAATCCAGTATCTGATGCATTATATCGCAAAAAATTTGCCTCGGTTCCCGTTACAAAACCAGGTATGCGATGCGATTCGTATGAGACGTGTCCACGTGTGGCCTGAACTGCCCCGTGTGCGCCAGTGTTTACAAGCCAGCCAGTGTGTGCGCATCTAAGGATACATTCGGTACATTCCATATTATCCACATTATCACTGTTTTTGGTGCTTGTTTCTGCAAAATAAGTCACCATGGGCCCCAAGAAAGCTTCTAGTGCCAAGGGTGCTAATGACTATTGAAATGAAGTAAGAGATAATTGCAAAGTATGAAAGTGGAGTGCATGTGTCAGAGCTGGCCAAGTTGTATAGTACAGTATAGTTGTGTTGTATAGAGGGGGATTCCCCTTCTAAACAATAGGTTCAATACTCTCCCTTCCTCCCATCCCAACAATCATCACCAGATCTTCATTAAAGGTAAGTGTCAATTATTCTATTGTTATTGTTGTTATTGTAATTATTCTATTGCATTAAACTTAATATTTCATGTGGTAAGTTTTTTTTTTTTTCATACTTTTGGGTGTCTTGCACAGATTAATTTGATTTCCGTTATTTTTTATGGGGAAAATTGATTCGCTTTCCGATAATTTTGGTTTACGATGAGCTCTCGCGAACGGATTAATATCGCGAACCGGGGGTCCACTGTACTGTACTAAATTGGCTCTATACAGGCCATAAATGATTTCTGTATCTGTTCCAGCTCTGATATCACTTAAGCACTGAAAGGAGCTGTCAACACTGAGCAATACTCTCAGAGAGAGAGAGTGAGTGAGTAGGTAACAGCTCTTAGCTTGTCAATAAAGTTAGGAATCTTTAACTTGTAAACAGCTTGTCAATAAAGCTAGGGATCCTTAACCTAACCTTGTCAAATGCTGTGTAAAAGAAAATAGAGAGAGAGAGAGAGAGAGAGAGAGAGAGAGAGAGAGAGAGACAGAGACAGAGACAGTAGGGGTTGCAAAATTCTGTATGAGGCACAAGTATGCTCATACCTTGAGTACGCTCCACTTTCTTGATTTGCCTGCCCCCTCCCCCCCTCTCATCTCCAACTGCTTGACAGAGTAGAGAACAGAGCAAGATTACTCATCTTTTGCCTGGATCTATCCTGGATAGATCTGTCATTTCAGCAGAGCCTTCAATACAGGAGGGATGTGGGTGGCCTTACTGTTATGTACAAGGTCAACAATGTCAAAGTACCACACTTGGCTCCACTTCAAGGAGAGCCCATCTTCTATACCAGAAGATGGGCAGAAAACAGAAGCTTCACTTTGGCTGTACCCTTCTCCAGAACATCACTTCATCCGAGATCATTTATCCCCAGGATGACTTAAGTCTGGAATACGTTCATACAGCATAATGATATCAACGAGATAAAGTCAGTTGATCAAATGAAAACGCTGGCCCACAGATGGCTCCAACTTCATCCTGTTCCCTACTTGCATGTTTCATAATAAAAATGCTTTCCAATGAGCTGATGTAGGTAACAGCTCTTAGCTTGTCAATAAAGTTAAGAATCCTTAACTTGTCAACAGCTTGTCAATAAAGTTAGGGCTCTTTAACCTAACCTTGTCAAACCCTATGTGAGAGAGAGAGAGAGAGAGAGAGAGAGAGAGAGAGAGAGAGAGACAGACAGACAGACAGACAGACAGACAGAGACAGACAGAGAGACAGACAGACAGAGACACACAGACAGAGAGACACAGACAGAGAGACAGAGAGACACAGACAGAGACACAGACAGACAGAGAGAGAGACAGAGAGAGAGAGAGAGAGAGACACAGACTAAAGAATTCATCAAACACTATATGTCAGTCCTCATCAAATTAAACACTATATGTCAGTCCTCACCAAATTAACCACTATACATCAGTCCTCACCAAATTAATCAAAGTCCAAGCAACTAGTATATTATTCTAATAGCTTCATTCAAATGATTGGAGATATAAAAAAGACCTGGAAGACACTCTCTCAGATCCTGGGCACCACAAACCGAACAGAATTAGTAATATTGTGCTGACTAAACCAAATGAACTGAAACTCCAGCCTAATGAAGATGAAAGTACAGGTCGGCCATCACTAATCCGGCAATCAGTTTTCCGGTTCCATCAGTAATCCGGAACTAATTTCGACTAGGATAATTTCAAATTTCCAGGGTCACCACACCAACCTGCCGCTACTGTTTGATGGCACTACTTGATGCGTAAGTCATTTCAATTTTTCTCCATTTATTATTACAACTTGCTCACTTTTAGCCCTAGCCATGGTTCCAACAAATAAAAGAAATGCTTCTCATTGTGTAAAGCACCTATACAGTACATTGTCCATAAAAGGGCTATGAAACTGCTGTCGGTTGTTATGAGCTCCCGAGTCTCATGATGTCAACACTAATATTAACACTACGGCTTATTTACCTATCACAGTTGATTTAATAATATATAACAATATAAATAACATAAAAACATGGTAAATACTCCAGAATGAATAATATTTGGCATAATACTGAGCGGTCTGACGTAAATATGAAGTTACCGCTATAGAATATGGGATAAAAGTACCATCCTCCTATCCCTGTTGTGGGGGCTTATATTAGAGAAAATGTAGTGTAGTACAGGGCTAACTATGACATATGTGTTCTCATCGATTTTTATCAGACGTACGTTATTCATTTATATCTGAACATAGCCCTCAAGGGGGGGTTCCTTGATGCTGGTGAGGGGCTATTGATCTAGGGAATTGGCTCTGTGCTTGAGTTCCCTGAATTAAGCCTGAATACCTTCCATCCCCCCTCCCTCACAGGCACTGTATAATCCTACGGGTTTAGTGCTTCCCCATTATAATAATAATAATAATACAGTGGACCCCCGCATAGCGAACGCCTTGCATAGCGAACAATCCGCATAGCGGACACTTTGTTCGCTAAAATTTTGCCCCGCATAGTGGACAAAAACCCGCTCAGCGGCCTTCGTCCGAGACGCGTCCAATGTGCGCCCTCAGCCAGCCTCACATGTGCCGCCCGTGCCATTGTTTACCAGCCAGCCTCCGCGGTAACATTCAAGCATACACTCGGAATATTTCGTATTATTACAGTGTTTTCGGTGCTGTTTTCTGGAAAATAAGTGACCATGGGCCCCAAGAAAGCTTCTAGTGCCAACCCTACACCTCAAAGGGTAAGAATACCCATTGAAATGAAGAAAGAGATCATTGATAAGTATGAAAGTGGAGTACGTATCACCGACCTGGTCAGGTTGTACAAGAAACCAAAATCAACCATCTCTTCTATTGTGGGCAAGAAAACGGCAAATCAAGGAAGCTGTTGTTGCCAAAGGTTTAACTGTGTTTTCGAAACAAAGATCGCAAGTGATGGAAGATGTTGAGAGACTCTTATTGGTGTGGATAAATGAAAAACAGCTAGCAGGAGATAGCGTCTCTCAAGCGATCATATGTGAAAAGGCTAGGAAGTTGCATGACGATTTAATTAAAAAAATGCCTGCAACTAGTGATGATGTGAGTGAATTTAAGGCCAGCAAAGGTTGGTTTGAGAGATTTAAGAAGCGTAGTGGCATCCATAGTGTGATACGGCATGGTGAGGCTGCCAGTTCGGACCACAAAGCGGCTGAAAAATATGTGCATGAATTCAAGGAGTACATAGAAAACTGAAGGACTGGAACCTGAACAAGTGTTTAATTGTGATGAAACAGGCCTGTTCTGGAAGAAAATGCCAAGCAGGACCTACATTACTCAGGAGGAAAAGGCACTCCCAGGACATAAGCCATGAAAAGACAGGCTTACTTTGTTGATGTGTGCCAATGCTAGTGGTGATTGCAAAGTTAAGCCTTTATTAGTGTATCCTCTGAAACTCCCAGAGCGTTCAGGCAAAAGAATGTCCTCAAGGATAATTTGTGTGTGCTGTGGAGGGCAAACAGTAAGGCATGGGTCACTAGGGAATTTTCTATAACTGGTTACACCATGCATTTGCCCCCAATGTGAAAGATTACCTAACTGAAAAGAAATTAGACCTTAAGTGCCTCCTGGTGTTAGACAATGCCCCTGGTCATCCTACAGACGTGGCAGAGTGACTTTATGGGGACATGAGCTTCATTAAGGTGAAGTTTTTGCCTCCTAATACCACTCC